CTCCCACCAACTCCTCCCATGGCCCCCCACTCCATCTCAATTTCTTGTCCTCTTCTTTGGTTATTATTTTTATATATACATACATACATTTATAAATATACATATATATTATACACATATATGTATATATAAAATGCACTGAGTCCATTTAGTGTTGCTTATGTGTGTCTGTGTTTAGGGCTGCTCATTTGGGATTAGATAGCCTCTCAGGGTGCTAGTCCCTGGAGAAAACTGATTCTCCCTCCCTCAACATCCACTGATTGCCTGCAGCACTTCATCTTGTGGTGGGACCCCATGACGTTCCCCCATCCACCTTGGCATGAAAAAATGGTCTTGTCACAATGCAGATCTCATTAGATAACCATCCTGCAGAGATTTCATTGCTGCAGCTTTCCTATCATTCCAGAATGCATTAACTAGCAGCAGGTGTCTTGTCCCTCCAGCTCTTACATTCCTTCCACTCCCTCTTCTGCAATGTACTCTGGAGCCTTAGGTGTAGAGGTTGCCTTGCAGTTGTGTTACTTAGTGCTGAGTACCTCACAGACACATATGCTCTGAATTTGACCAGTTATGGGACATTGTAATAGTCTCTGTTGCAAGAAGCTTCTTCGATGAGTGGATGAGAAGTACACTTGTCATGACTGTCCAGGGCACAGGAGCAGTGGTTCCTGTCCTAGTCCCAGAAAGGGAAGACAGCTCCATATCTTTATATACACAATTAACTAGAGCTGTAATTAATAAAAAGCTATCACTTCTTAAAATATTTTATTTATTATTTTTATTTTATGTGTATGGGTGTACTGCCTACATGTAAATGAGTACGCCCATGCCGTGCAATGCCGCGGAGGTCAGAAGAGAGTTTCAGATTCCCCTGGAACTGGAGTTAAGGATGGTTCATAACCGCCATGCGGGCACTGGGAATCGAACCCAGATCCTCTGCAAGTGCAGTCAGTACCCTTAACTGCCGAGCCACCTCTCCAGCCCCAAAAGCTATCACTTTTAAAATCTCAAATAATGTGGTTCTCAGAGTAAATCCAATGGAATAAATGTAATACTTGTAAGGAATACATTGCTAAGCATCATCAAAAGACAAAAACAAAGAGACACATATCCAGTTCACTGATATGAAAATGAGACTACTAAAATTAAATTCAGGGGCTGGAGCGATAGCTCAGCAGTTAAGAACACAGACCTTGCAGAAGACCCAGGTTTGAATCCCAGCACCCACATGGCAGCTAACAACTCCGTAACTCCAGTCCTAGGGGATCCGACAACCTCTTCTGACCTCCACAGGCATTGCATGACATGGGTGCACTTACCTATGTGCAGGCAATACATACATACACATAAAATAAAAATAATAATAAGTAAAATATTTTTAAAAAATTTAAATTCAATGAAAATCCTTTCATTTTTTTCATGGAGTTTGACAAACTGATACTAACATCATTGTGGAGGAATAGAGGGCCAAGAAGAATCTAAGCAATTGTGATCAAGAGGAAGGAATGACTTCACCTTCTTTAGAATATATTATAAAGTTACAGTAAATAAAAGATTATGATTTTGGTAGCATTAGACAAGACCAACTCAACAAAACAAGAACCTAGAAATACACTCATGCATACGTGGACATATAGAATGTGCAAACAGCATTACAAATCAATAGAAGGGTTTGATAACACAGAGCCAACTGGCTACAAAGAATGAAGATTAGATTAGATCCCAGCTTAACAGCATAAACAGAAATGAACTTCTGATGGATTAAAAAAGAAAACAGAAAATTCTTTTTTATTTTATTTATTATTTTTATTTTATGTGTGTGTATGTATTGCCTGCACGTAGGTAAGTGCACCCATGTCGTTCAATGCCTGTGGAGGTCAAAAGAGGTTGTCGAATCCCCTGGGTCTAGAGTTACGGTCAGTTGTTAGCTGCCATGTGGGTGCTAGGATTCGAACCCGGGTCTTCTGCAAGAATAACCAGTGTTCTTAACCACTGAGTCATCTCTCCAGCCCCGGAAAATTCTCTTTGAGATATTAGATGAAAATTTTTTACTTAAAATCACATAACTTAAATGAACAAGACTGCGATACTTTTTTGAAATAAAGCTTTTTAGGTTTTTTGTTTGTTTTTGTCTTTTTGTTTCTTTTTTACGCAATAAAATTTCTATAACAGACAATACTATAAACAAAGTAAAAAGATAAATTGCCAACTCAAAGATGTTTCCAACTCATCTACCAGACAAAGGGTTAGTATCCAGAACATATAAACAACTAGAAATAGGAAAACCAAAACAAAATTTTCCAGGAAATATATCTTACTACATATTCATCCTGTTTGAGAGACTGTTCATCCCCTCCAATCACCCCAAACACATGATTTGAGCTAGAACTGATAATCATAGTAACCAACTGGGTTACAGTGAAGGTCTTGGGTTTGTTTTTTTGGTTTTTTTGGTTTTTTTGGAGGGGGGAAGAGTAGGTCTTTTTGAGACAGGGTCTCCCTGCAGCCACAGCTGGCAGGGATTTGCTATGGAAACCAGGCTGGCCTCAAACTCACAGAGATCTGTCTGCCTCTGCCTCCTGAAAGCTGGGATTAAAGGTGTGTGCCACCATGCCCAGCTAGGTCTTGGATTTTTAATTAGTTATAAAAAAAAATTTTTTAAAAAGATTATTTTCTTCTGTAAAGCAACCCTCTATGATTTAACCCCAAATTTTTTTCATTGTAAAATTAAAAGGTTACTTCCTTTTACAAATCTGAAAGATGTAGTCTCTGGCATATAACCCTTGCCCTACCCCAAACAGAGACACTCAACCCCTTCTCCACATGTGGAAGATACCAGCCTAGAGGAAACCAGGGAAGACATGCAGAGAGAACAGAGGTGGCATTTCTCCGATCCTGTCAGCAAACAGCATGAGTCCAGCAGTTCTTACCTCAGCAAGTATTACCAGTTATGTCTTGAATGTTTTCCACACAGTCATGTACTGAAGGCATAGCCCCCACTCTGTGACCCTACTGAGAGGAGGTGGACCTTAAGATGAGGCCTAGTAAAGTTATACCATTGGGGGCATGTCTTTGAAGGACCCCAGCCCCTTCCTGTCACTCCATGAAGTGATTAACCTTCTCTGCAACATGCTTCCAGCTTGATATAATGCCTCATCAAAAGCCAGAAGGCAAAGGGTCCAAGCAACCATGAATTGAAACCTCTGAAACTATAAACCAGAATAAACTTCTCTTAGGCTGAACTATCTCAGCTACCTGTTACACCAAGGGAAAACTAAAGTTTATCTTCTGTAACTTAAAGCAAAGAATTTGATGAAGTTAATTAGTTAAGTCCTGATGAAAAATTAGTCAAGGAAAGGGCAGTATTCATTATTGATAAGCCTTAAAATAAATAAATTAGCCCTTAAGTAATAGGACCATAAAACAAAAATCTGAAATCCTAAAATGAACATAATTAATCCACACATAAATTCTAATTACTCATTTCAGTATGTGTCATTTACTTTAAAAGCAAACCCACTCCAAAAATAAGCATTATTCATACAGTTCTATATGTTCTGCAAATATATAAGCATATCTATTCTGATTGTTAAATCATGATAATTTAGCACACATATGCATAAATCAACATTAAAGCTGAAAAGTTGGAAAACCCATGGTCATTATTAGCTAAGATGTCATTTTGAATAAGATGTGCTAACAAGTTGGGGCTGGCAGTACAGGTCTACAATCCCAGCTACTCACAAGGCTAAGGCAAGAGGATCACAAAAGCAAGGCCTCCCTGGGCTATAGAATGAGTTCAGGGCCAGCCTGGACAAGTTAGTGAGATCCTGTCTCAAATAAAGAAAAAGAAAAAGGGCAGAAGATACACCTGGGTGGTAAAGGCTGGAGGGCTTGCCTAGTATGTGTGAGGTATCAAAAACAAAAACAAAAAATAAGATGCTGAAAACAACTAATTCTTTTGCCACACCAAGACCACTCCTTGTACTGTGAAAACCAACTATTTAGTTATTACATATTACCAATATGTAATAAAATAGCATGGCATGTTTTACCTGTTAGTACCAAATTCCTTAAAATTTCTCAAAAAACACTTTTAGTAAAGTTCTTCTTGGAAGTGTGAATGAATTAGAACTAAGTGTATTATATGTCTTGACCAACTCCACTCTGGGCTTTTACTTACCACCAATATAATTTGGTAAAAACAAAGGCAAAGTGCTTGTCCCCATTGTGGACAATAAAACAATTCAATGCAGAGCTGCTGTTGAGAGCCAACTCTGAGATGAAAGTGCATGTACACATGTGTAAATGGGCAGGAAGTCACAGCAGCCCTCTAGAAAAGCCACTGGCCCTGGGAAAGTCAGAATAAAGAGAGTAAAATCTTCATTTCCAACCTTAATCATCTGCTTCACATTCACCACCAATTACACCTTCTAGGAACTTCCACTAATTCAAACAGAATCAGAACTCCATAGACTAAGATGGAGGCTAAAAGCTAGGTTATGGAGTACTGCTGTTCCACAGAAGGTTCTTCCAAGAAGAATCTCAAAAAAAATCTTTTTATTTTTTTTTACCAATTTAAAGGAACAAAACGAAGTCATAAAGCAAAAATGACTTCAAAAACTTTGTGGAATACCTAACTATCTATGTTCAGAAGATCTGTGTCATGTAGAGATCATCATTTAAAATGGGACTCATGATCTCCCTCTGAAACTAAAAACACCCCTCAGTACCATTCCAACATGATTTAAGTACTGGTTTCTTACCATGGTATTTCTTGCCATGGTTCCAAAGGTAGACAATAGACAATAACCATCTAACATTTTGAACACTGAAATGAGAAAGAAAACTAGCCAGGCTTCACCTACAAATGCTTGTGAATCCCAAGAGGGCAGTTCATACCATGCCGCATGTGTTATAGGACCCAGAAAGAACAGAAAAAAAGTGCTTGCACATCAAAGCAAGAGTAAGCCTTTTTACAGGCCAGCCTGTTCTCTTACCAACATGTCAGTGGCACTGAGATAGTGCTTGCTGGCCATGCACTGTTCCAGCTTTTGAGGCACTTGTTTGATGTTTTCAATATCATCCAGCAGGATCAGGACATGCTTATGTTCAATTCCTTCAATCCACAGTTTCCGAAGTTCATCCCGTTTGCAGTGCAATAGCATCTTGCAGGAAAGTAGATTCTCTTTTACCTACAATAAAACAGATTTTACCTTCAGTCAGTTCAAAGTCTTGCCAGTCTAAGCCCCTCACCTGGTTGGTGCTCCTCATTGGCCTTGCTTTGTGTAACAGTTCCTAATTCACAGGCCCACTTACTACTCCTAGTTGGTCCCCTTCAAAATTCTAGTCCTGCCAGGAAATGAGAAAATTACTCCAAATATACCTTTGAATGAATCTAGAATTACTAAGGCTATTAGGTACTCTGAAAATACGAAACACCATATAAATAATACACCTAAAAGGGGGGTTGGGATCAGTGTCAGAGTCTGATGCTATTATTCCTTCTCCAATTCTCCTTGCAGATGTCCTGTTCAACTGGCAGGTTACTTAGTCCATGCTGATAGCTCTAGAACTCCAGTTCAGTTTAAAACTGAGGATCTGAGTGTTCTTCCAACGGACTACAATAAAACCAAGCCCACTATCCTTACTAAATTTTAAGCATCAGCTATTAAATAGATACTAAATAAAGGCAACCTCCAGCATTCTCTATATCTGTACAGTATAAATGTTACATGTGCACAACATGATTAGATAAAAGGTAGAGAAAGATGCAAACAGTGGAAGGGGGGTTCACAAGCACATTTAAGAGGAAGTTTCCAAGTTCTACCCTACACATTTTTAATTTTTTACAACATAGAAAAAGATTTTTTTTTTAAGGTAAGATCTTATATAGCCCAGGCTGGCTCAAAGTCAATGGCCTAGAACTCCTGATTCTACTGCCTCCACATCCAAAGCACGATGATTACAGGCATTGCCACCACACTCTGTTGGTTTTTGGAGGGTGGGAGGGGCTAGAAGAGTAATTTCTAAATTCATGATCTTTCACAACTCTCAGATCTGCTTTTAAATGCTTTTGGTAATCTTCATATTTTTATTTAGAGTTCAAGATGTTTACAGTTTTGCTTCTATTGTTTTTTGGTCTTTTTGAGACAGGTCTCCCAGTAGCTCCAGCTGGCCTGGAATTCATTATATAGATCAGGCTAGCCTCAAACTCACAGAGATCAGCCTGCCTCTGCCTTCCAAATTAGGATTAATCCAAGCTAGGATTAAAGGCATACACCACCACACCTGGCTTTTGCTTCTATTTTTAACTTGAAGTTAAATGAAACTCAAGTATAACACTTGACGGATTCTAGCAACCATGTAAACCTATATGATTCAAGCCTTCCTCAATACATGGGACATTTCCATCACCCTAGAAAGTCTACCATGCTTGTGACTCCTGAAAAAATATATATATATTCCTAACTAACTTGGGGAGTGAACACACTATTGACACTATCTATGCTTCTGCTGATTATAAAACTAAATCTCAACATTTGTCCAGCAAGCATGGAAAATATGGAGATCGACTGCTAAGACTGTGTGTGGTGGTTTGAATGAAGATGTCCCCAACAGGCTCCAAGCATTTGGACATTTTGTCCCCAGTTGGTGCCCCTGTTTGAGGAGGTTTAGGAGGTATGACCTTGCCGGAAGAAGCATGTCATTGGGGTGGCTTCTAGCCTTGCCAATTTCCAGCTTCTCCCTCTCTGCTTCCTGTGCCTGCCTGAAGATAGGAGCCCTCAGCTTTCTATTCTGGAGGCCTCCTGTCATGCTTCTCCCAGTATGATGGATTATTTTATCCCTCTGGAATCATAAGCCAAATAAACTCTTTCCTCTATAAGTTGCCTTGGTCATGGTGTTTTATTACAGCAACAGAAAAGTAAGTAACACATACTCCACGCACATGCATGCATGTGTATTCACACACGCACACATACACACACACACACACACACACACACACACACACACACACACACGCACACATGAAAAGTACACACACGCACACATGAAAAGACTGAACTAAGTAGTCCAATAGTTACCAAACAGGAATTCTAGGGGAAAGGCAAATGACTTTAAAAATACAGTGGCGAAAACTAATGAAATTTTTAAAAATAAAATTTCCCAGAGCAAAGCATATAACTTCTCAGATTGAAAAAAGCATACCAAGAGCTGACAACAACAGAGTAAGAAGAGACTGTGGCAAGAGCATCAGGACTCTGACGTCAGCCTGGGCTCTCTTGAGACCCTGTCTTGTTGGAGATGGAGGTAGAAGAGAAGAGAGGAAAGGGAAGGCGCTCTGGAGAAGCAAGACTGAGAGAGCAAGAGGGAAAATATGAAATGATAATCTAAGAGACTTTTTTAAAAAAGAAAAAAAACAGTAGGATCTACACAAAAGTTGGTGAATCACACCAGTACAAGATTTTTTTCACAACAGTACTATGAAAAGCCTATAAAGAAAAAGGAACATTATATCTTCAAAATTCTGAGAGAGAATTATCCCAGAAAGGCTATCAACTGAGTATGAAGAAAGAATAAAGACATGTAAGTGCTTAAGAGGTAATTATTATTATATGTACCATATTATCAAACTTCTGAGGAATGCTACTCCATCAGTACAAGAGAGCAGAAGAAACATGGGGATTCTAGCACAGATGAAGAGCAACCGAACTATTCCATCATAACCCCAGAGAAACAACAGCAACAACAAACTTGCACAGAAAAAAAATAATCATATTAGATGACTCTGATGTAAATAACATAGCTATAAGAGGATAAAGGAAGAAAATGTGATTGAAATGGGAAGAGACTAAATCCTCATCTTCCCTATATAGCTGGAAATCAATACAAAATTTTTTAATATTTTATTTATTATTTTTATGTGTATGTGTGCACTGTCTGCATGTAGGTAAGTGCACCCGTGTCCTGCAATGCCCATGGAGGACAGAAGAGGCTGTCAGATCCCCTGAACTGGAGTTACAGCCAGTTGTTAGCTGCCATGTGGGTGCTGGGATTCGAACCCGGGTCTTCTGCAAGAACAGCCAGTGTTCTGAACTGCTAAGTCATCTCTTCAGCCCTATCAATACAAAATTTTTAAAACAGAAACTCAAGTAGTAGTATAGGGCTACCATCAGAAAAGTAAATACTTTGGTGGGGGGGCGCACAACCTAAATGGAGGGGCACCCACTCTTGTAAATAAACTCCCACCCTATGCTCTGTTAGCAAGCCCAATAAACTAGTTAGGATTAAAAAAATAAAAATAAAAAAGAACAGAGCTAATGGAAACCTTCATTATTCCACAAAAGTTGACCCCATGTTGGCAAATCCTTTCTTTTTGCAACAGGGTCTCCCTGTAGCTCTAGCTGTCCTGGAGCTCTGTGTGTACCAGGCTAGCCTCGAGCTCACAGCAATCTGCCTGGCCCCTCCACCATGCCAGGCTTTGGTATTTGATTTCTTATCCCTACTTTTCCACCCTTAAACTTCATTGTATATATAGATTTTTATGTAACCTGCTTCAAATTATTTCTGGAAAAATGTGTTACAAATTGCCTCTCTTTGTAATAATAAAAATATTCTAAAATAAAAAATAAATCCAAAAAAAAAATTCTCCAACAGTTTAAGTCAATGCCTTTGTATTGATAGAACTGGGATCTTGACACTGTTTGTGGCTTTACATGACTTAAATGTATCCCTCAAGGCTATTCCTGAGTTTCCTTGGAGTTCCTGATCTCTAGATGTAGCCCAAAAATTACTCATTCCTCCAAAAAAAGCCAGCCAGGGGCAAGACGAGGAGCACCCAGGGAAGACAGCCAGAGCCCACTGTGATAAGGAGAGTTAGCAAGGCCATGCCGGAACTCTGGGAGCCATCAGGAAACAGCTTGCAGCACAGAGAAGCCATTTCTTTGTAAGTCATCCCCTCTCAATGTATAAACTAAGCAAAATTCAAATAGGACTGTGTTATACCCATTTGTCGATCCACATCAGGACCAAGAGACCCTGAGTGAGTGAGAGTGAGTCAAAAAGAGAGCAGGAAGGGGAAAATTTAGTGCAACACTGGATTAAAAATTTGTTATTAAAACTCAGTCCATTTAAATACTGGTTAAAATTTGGTTAGAATTTGATTTCTGATATTCTCATATCAACTTAGTTCTAGCTCTGAATTTTTTTTTCTCCATGTGTAATGGTTACCATGGAAATAGGTAAAAATAAATTTTGCCATAAAACACCCAACTAGGCTCTTGATCAAGAGTGGAGGATAAACTTACAAAGTGCCAGTACTGATTGGAAAAAGACATTATGGAATGTCACAGCAGTATACATGCAGTGTAATCGGATCACTTCTCACTTATGTTCACTACATGGAAAAAAAATAAAAGGTAGACTGGCAGGAGGACCCACTGGCATGCTGTATACAGATGAACATGACCAAAATTACTCCCTAAACTGAACTAACAAAGGTACAGATAGACATAAGATACTGCAAGAACTTTTACTACTAAACTATCCTAGACTTTGTCTTTTTTATTAAAGTTATAAAGAAATGTTATCTTGGAAGACGGAGAATGCGGTCAGTCAGCAACAAAGAAGAAAAAAACATGAAGAATATCAAAATTATGATGCTGAGAAAAGAAGTCAGAAGCAGTAAGGATGTGAGTTCTAGAACAGGCAGAACTAATCCATAATGACAGAACAGATCAATAGCTGTGTGCAGCAGGATGTAGAAGAGAACTGACTATAAAGAACAGGAGGCCACAGGTGGTAACACACATATGCATCCCCACCATTTGGAAAGCTGAGGCAGGGGGGATCATGAGCTTGAGGCCAGCCTGAGCTACAAGAGCCAAGGTTGAAGCTAACCTGGGATACATAGCAGGAGTAAATTTTCTGAGGCAAAATAACACATTCAACTATATACATACCAAATTCATTGAACTGTACCATCAAATAACATGTACAGCACCATATGTCAATTATATGTCAATAAAGATGGAGCATAAAACCATTATAGAAATTAATACGGAGGTTCCTGATAAAAATAAATAGTATTACTGTATGACCCAGCAATGTCACTACTTAGTATTCAGATGGTCTTCAACTTAGGATGACAACCTGACAGCAATATAAAAGTGATACACATTCAGTAGAAGCC